CCTTCCAATCCCTAACATTCTGTGATTCTCTCAGGTACATTTGCAGTATGCTGTGGTAATATTTAGCCACACAAATTCTACTGATAAGAGAAATTGCATGACTAAATCTCCTTGTGTGGGCCAAATCCCATGCTGGCCCTGTCTGCAGCACAGGTTACCTAACGACTTCTTCAGAATTTTTGTCATTCGAGGCATCCTCTGACTCAGAGGGAGGATAGAGATGTTCCTTGAAGTCACTGCATTGCATTAATTCCAGCCCTCTCTGCTGCCGTTGGTCGAAGTACATGGCTCAAAGAGCAAGAGATTGTAAATTGCAATATTGGAGACTATTTTCACCTGAAGTAAGTCCTGTTCCCAGGTACAGGCCTTTTGGAAGGCAGGGACAACTTGGGAGTAGAGCCAGGGCAACTGTCCCAGGTTATCTGGGTTTCCTAAGATAAGAGGGCTAAGAGTCTACCTCCCATACCACCAAAATATCAAGTGGGAATCGAACAAAAAAGGTATTATTGAAGTTGTGTAATCTCTTGGCAGGTCATGTAACCATTTTAAGTTCTCAGACACTGAGTTTCTGATGAACAAAGGAACATAGTTCTCTCATTATAAAGGAACAAGATTGGTAGCAGCAGTTGTGCTCTTATCTCATTGTAAAAAGAGAGAATGGTATGCAGGTCCGTGACAAAGGAATTTTAGCACTGGTAAGCTGCCTCAAAATTTGTGTTTCCACGACACTGCTTTCGAAAATAAAAATATTATAAGTGCATTTTTCATTTGGAATGTACTTCTGTCTACACAGGAGCTCAGCAAATCTTAAATGTGTGCATGTTTGCGATGTTTCATGTTGAACAAAATTAATTATTTTTAGCGATTCTTTTGAGAGAGGACTTATGCACTGTATTCCATCTCTTCTGCAGGTGGCTAAGTTCCTGGTGAAGTAGTGTCTTATGGTATCTATCTGTATAGGGATCTACCTGAGATGAATGTGATTAAAACTCCCAGGGGACATTAGAGATATCAGCTGCTGTTTTAATGAATTAAATTTAAACAAGCATTTTTTCAGTAAGGTTCTTCCAGTAGGATTAATCAAGGCTGAGGGGCAGCCATCATGCCAATTGCTGAAGTTTAAATTTTCTTGTAGGCAGGCTGTCAGAGAAATTGTTAGCTAATACTTCTGTATCTTAAGAAGATATTCAAAAGGTCATACTTCTATATGAAATCTTCTTTAAGAAATGTATGGATACCCAGTCTACCAGGTATTCTCAAAGTGAAGCTCTGACAGTTTTTACCAATGAAATTTGGTCACTGATAAGTTTTTTTATAGGTTTGGTTTTGGTTCTTTTCCTGAGTAGCAAAAATTCACAGCTCTTACACAGTTGCTTGATGCTATGAGATGTAATTTTGTATTCTCCTTGGTAGCTGTGGAGTGTCCTTTCCTGAATATTCACACATATTCTGTTCTTGAAGGCTGGCGTGTGGTTGATGGACCGCTTTTTTCTTTTCAGTGTTTGCATATATTCTGTATATTCTTTTAGAAGTTTCAAACCTGGAAAAAAAACTACCCCCTTCTCTTCAGAAAGAGGTGTTTGAGAATAAAGGAAAGGGGAGTATAGAAGAGGATAATAATGGACAAAATGCCATGCAGTGTGGAACTTGAGCTTGACACAGGCTGGGAAGCAGTTTTATTACAGAGAAAGCATGAAAAATAATGAAGAAAGTATCACATTATTTGTGGCCTGCTTGGTGGACTTTCTTATCTGAATCACCAATATAAATGCAGCCCATGGTAGTAAGGACTGAAAGGCATCAGTTGCTACCCGATGGTTGGTCACTAACCATTGTAAATGCACTCTCATCCACAGTAACGACATGTCTACAAATATCTAGTCAAGAGTGATTGGCACCCTGGTTGCCACTATTAATATATACATTAAGGTACTGAGTGGCGTGAGGAATGAATTATCCCCTCAAATCATGAGGTAATCACACCAAAGTAGGACTGAGCATGTTGGCAACATTGCATGGAAAAATTGACTCTGCTGCTATCCTTGTGGCACCTGTGCTGGAGATGAAGGATTTCACTCTTGGGAGAGAACAACTCTCTGCGTTCTGGGTCATTGTATTTGAGCAGTGTTTGGGGAAGAGAGGAGGTAGGGGCTTTTAAATCTTTATAGAGATAGATAGAGATCGATATATAAATACAACAAATATGCATAATAGATAATAATAATTAATTAATTATAATTAATAATTTTACATTAACAACTGTGAATGTAAAAAGAAAAAAAATACCTTTAATAGTAACACCTGAAATACAATAGAAAACACTTAAAAACTCCACTGCCCCTTGTATAAAAAAACATGTAAAATCTTAGCTTTGTATATTGATCCTGATTTCTCATATGGTAGTATTTTAATAGCTAGCATATATGATCTATGAATTTCAGCTATGTAAAGATCTGTTTCATGCTGATATTTTAGCTTTGGTTTAGCTTATATTTGATTTTATGTATTTTTTAATATTTAAAATTACCTGAACTGGACAGAAATGTACACCACAGTTTCTCTTTTACAGCATTGTGTAAACATATGTAATTAGCCTTGTACTTATCAGCATTAGTATCATTAGAATTGAAAACCCATTTTAATCTGGATTCTGTTCTCTTCTCAATGTCAGCCTGTTTCTGGACCGGTACAGAGCTAGCCTTGTTGATGCAATAAAGAGATTACTCCAGCCCAGTGTAAGTATGTTTCTATTTTCTCCTGAACACTGGCTTCAGAATAATTAGTCTGTGCACAATGATTGAGAGAGTAATGGAATGGCAGGATTAATGTCATGTAATACTTTAATACTTATTATGTCCAACTTCAATTGAGTCTTCTAATCTATCAGATTCTTTCCTAATCATAAACTAGGAAACTTCTTATACTTGGCCTTCTGATAAGGAACACAGTGGGTAGTAAAATAAATGAAACCGCTTCAAAGATAGTGTGAGATTATTTTTATCAAAGCGTTTCTCAAGTATTTTCCTTTGATAATAATGTCTTCATATTAAAGTAAAAGTACGATATTGAAAGTTTTTATGTTGGCTTCTGTCATTTGTAATCCCTTCAATTGTAACCTTTGTCATTGTGTATTTATTTATTATGAAAGAATATTCTTTCTTTTCATTTCTGTTTATGTGAAAATCACAAAATCCTTATGCATGTATTGTAGCCTAAAACTTTTTTTATATCAAGTAAGCCTTATGTTTACATGTTTTATACCATAGAACATAACAAAATTAAGCCCTTCATAAAATGGTTACACGTTCTACATGAGTGTCACTAGGGAAGTATTTACCAATCTCAATCTTATTAGACTGTTAAATCAGAGACCTTTAGGACCAAAAAAAAAAAACCCCAAACAAAAAAAGAGCAGTTATATGCATATACTTATACCCAACAAATAATCTTGAATCTCCAAAAAAAAAATTTAAAAAGAAGACAGCAAAATGAGAATATGAGAAAACATGTGAAGTAATGGCTATAAGTAGGAATTTGAAACAGGAATTTTACCTTTCATGCTTAACATAAAAATCTTCCAGTAAGGTAAACTTTACATTTCAATATGAAAGTATTTCCTGTTAGCAATGTATTCTCCAAACTTTATTTAAAAATTGTCTTATACTTTTTGTACAAGAGATTTTCTCTGTAAAAGGAATAGAAGAGCCAAACATGCAAAGGCTTAAGAAACAGAGTCATTTTAGTCATGTAAGTAATCCCATTCTTTGCTAAGAGTGATCAGGTTTCTATTCTTGGTTCTATCGTAGAGTTTCCTGAGTGACCCAAGGCAAGTTACTTAAGACTGAATTATTTTAATGACCTATGGGGCAAGGCTGCCAGGAAGACAGGAGAAATTTAGCCACCCTGAGGAAAAGGTTACCTGGATATTTCTGTCAGTGGCAGCAAGGGGGAGGTTAAGCAGCTCCTGCCCAGAGTGATACATTCTGACTTTCATGATGTACCATCATTATTAGGTTGCAATAATTTTGGGGACCAGAGGTGATCTGGAACACAAAGCTGATCCCAGATTAAAAAAATGCAAAAAGTTTTGGGGTTTTTTTCACCCGTATCAATGTCTGCGCCTGGTTCTTCAGGAAGCCCCGTAAGGCCACTGTACTGACTCCATTAAGGGACACCAGAGGGGAGCAGTATGAACAGCAGGAAGACGAGTGTATAGGAGGTGCCTGGTAACTGTGCATTTGTATATGCACACACACACACGCATGCTTTACCTGGGCTGATTAGACCAGCCAGAGAACTTAATTTGCAAAACAATGACAATAAGGCGACCTGAATTTTAAATAGTGGTCATAGCTCAAGTTCCCATCTATAGACAATTTAGGAATTGTTAACCTGACTTCAAACAAAAACTGGCCTGACTTTGTTGCTTTTTAACTCCAGTCAGCTAATTCAAATTCAGAACATGCCTTTGTTTTTCAGAGCAGATGAACTACAGTCCCTTGTGAATGTAGGTGAAGTAAAGGGAGATGGCTTTTTGTTGCCTGTCTTCCTAGTCTGGTTTGCTTCTGCACGTTGTGATTAATAGCATAGCCTGTTTTGCTATGCATTTTAGGCTATCGTTCCTATTTCTTTTCATCAAAGCTAGCTTAAGAAATTCTTGCTCCTTGCAGGAATTTCTGTGGCAGAGCTTTGGACCAGTATCCAAACTGTATTTTTTTAATCTAAAGTCATTTGCCTAACCCACTTTATGGATGGTTACATGGATCGATATCCCTTTATGGCATGGCCTTACAAATTATTGTAATTCATAACTAAGAGGACAGCAAACTATTGTGGAGGCTGGGAGTACAGACACCTTAAATGAGCTCTCTTGTCCAAAACACATTGAACAAAGATGCCTTCAAGCATGCTTTCATGGTTTGAAAGATCCAAATAAAAGCATATACTCATTTGAGATCCCAAGAGAAGATGCAATCACAAGTACAAAATAGTTATTTTTTTTACTGTTCTTACTAAACTGTGAAAATCTAAGGATAACATCAGAAGAAACTTTACTAAATGGCACTATACTTTGGCCTTTAAAGGAAAAATAAATTAATAGTTAACTCATTTGCCAGATGCAGTAATTAAGAATAGTTTATGGGCATTAGTTTATGCCCAAGCTAGGTCATAAACTAATTTAATTAAGTTTCCTCTTCTATATGAGTTATTTTGTCTCAAATTTAGAAGTTACATTTCCTTAATGGTAATACTTTGTCAAATTGATAGAGGAGTGATCTCAAATTGAAGACACATCTAGACCTAAGACATCTATCAAGTGTAACTAGGATGCAACTAATATAGAAGAGTTCAGGGAAAATAATAGCCAGCAAAACTGAAAAGAAAAGTGGAGTAAACAGAAAATAACAGGTATCCTTACAAAGCTGTCTTGAAGGGGAAATTTAGAACAGGTAGTAATTTCTTACTGTTAGTTCAAAAAGAGATAAATTTATCTGCAGTATTTCCTTTTTCATTAAGGATGCTATTGGGGCTATTAGAATCTTTATGACACAGAATTATGTGTTTTGGGTAACTTTTTGTTTTCCTGGAAGCAGGGCTCTGGTCAGTTCAGTCATCTGATTCATAGTATGGCCCCATGGACAGTTGTACTGGCACAGAAGGGAGGACCAGAAATGAGCAGCTCACAGAGTTACTGGGGGCTGAAATTTCTATCTGAATTTGTTACAAAGGCAAGTGTCACCTGTAAATCAATTCCAAGAATTAGGCATTGAAATTTTACATCAAACAAGTTTATCTTGAATGACTATATTTTATTCCTCTTATAATCAACCTACTTGATTTACAAACATTTAGGGTTTTTTTTTCCTATCATTAAAGTGTACTTTTAATTTCAATCTCAGAATAATCAGTGATTTTTGCATATTTCCCTAAGTAAGAACATTTTTTTATGAAGGCTTTGATTCTTCTGTTGCATATCCATCCAAAATCCCAGTGAAGTCAATGGGATGCTATCGATCTGTGATTAGTACCAGCAGATAAGGCTGCATTTAATAATGATTTATGAGTAAACTTAGTAATATTAATGTCCAAAATGTGAACATCTGTCCCATTACCTTATTGCAGCATTTTAATGACACTTCAGACTATTGTAACTGATATTTTCCTCTGTGTTTTGTTCACAAGTTTATTGGAAGTATTTTCCCACCCGAGGAAAGGTCATTTTTGACTTTAAACCTCATCCTAAACTGGGAGGCACTTTTGAATTAGAATTAAACAACCTCAGTCGTTTAATCAAGTGTAGATCCGGGCCACTGGTCTAATTTTTTAATTGTACAGCAACCAAGAAATTAAAAACATTTTAAAATTAGAAATGTGAATGCAACCCCACAACAGGTAGCAGGATCACAGAGATCAGGCAGTTGACAAGAAAGGCTTTAAAACCAGATTATGATATACCAGAATTGACCACTGTACCTCCATACTACCTGCCAGTTTTGGGGAGATTGTTATAGTATTAAACTTAATCATGATTTCTTGGTTTTTAGCAGTGAGGGCAAGATCCTTAAGTGTTTTAGATGCACACTAAATTCAATAGATGAATGGGGTTTTACACCAACTAAGGAACTGGCCAAAAGTAACTATGTAGTGATTTCCATAAAAGGCCTTTTTTCAAGATTTTCAGTCTGGTTTTAAGAGATACTTCATACCAGGTTCCATTCTATTTTACTGTATTTCTCTTTCAAATTAAATTTGAAGTCATCTACAGAGAGTATGAGAAGGAATGATCGCGTGGAATGCTGACTTCAAAAAGAAATCTGTAAGGGGGTGCTGTTGTCTCAGCTCTGTTCTTGGGGTTTAGCCATTCCTGAAGCCCCCGTGTGAATCGTGTGGTCAGTAAGCCCTGGCTGGGGGACATGTTTCCCATTACAGTGATCTCTCTGTGAAGCTGCCCATGAAGATGAGGGACTCCAGAGGAGTCTTGTCTTTCTTATGCCAGGAAATGTCTCCGCAGAGCAACATTCTGGGGCGCGTGAGATGGCAGCAGGGGGAGGAGGATCCTCAGTTGAAGGCTCTCTTTGCTGCCCACTTCTGTCTGACGACATTAAAGCATACCAAGGATGTGAGGAAACTGATTGTGAATTTCCTGTGTTTAATGTTTTTCATCCTGAGCTGAGTCTATATTCAGACCTAACATTTACATAAACAATTCCAGTGCCTTCGGTGGGCGTTACAGCCCTTTGCACCTTGTATTTGGCCACAGAATTAAAGTTACAGCTACACAAATGAACTGATTGAGTTACTTCGGATGTTGCCCTGCATCTCCTTTGTGCTTAAATTTCCCATGAGAAAGATGAGGATAACAGCATTTCCCTATCTCACAGAGGCATTGTGAGAATAAATACAGCTCCGTGGTATTAATGATTGGAGTCTTTTAAGTACATATTAATACCATAGAGTTTTTAGTATGTAGAGTTTTTAATGCTGCCTCACTGTGCATTGTCTCAGTTTATGCGTGCATGAGCTGTAACACAGAGATTTGTTCCCTGTCCTCCTCACTAAGTATCTGTGTCAGCATTGTAACTTTCCAGAGTTCCCATTGAAATTCCCTCTCCTGATCACTTTTTTCCTGTGGTACACAAGATTGCATTTTCTCAAGCCAGATACTCTTCTACAGTGTCTAATCATTTTATAACTTCTTCAGGTCCCTAAAAATATTTTTTGTCTCTTTGACTGGTTACAGCACCTCACAAATCAGTCTTAGCTCTCATTGCTATAGAAGTTAAATACAAGAACTCACAGTAAACTTTGTGGCTCCCCTCAGTGTGACTTGCTGTTGGCTGATATTAACCTTTGTTTACAGCTCTTCAACCAGTTTTCATTCCATGTGACAGAACACGGTATTCAGCCAATTAGAATTAATTTTGCAAATAAGATTTCAAGAGATGCTCTATCAAGTAGGTTAGGTCTGGGGCTAGTACTTTGCACAGAGTGTCAAAAATCTATCAGGTCAAGGTACAGTCATTTTTGTTTTCTTAAATACAGAAGGATGAACAAAAATATTAGCTAATGGACCATAATGTATTGCTTGGGCATCAGAAATGGCCTGATCATCTTGAAAGATCCAGAATTACTATGCAAGAACATTAAGTCTTGCTTTAAATGCAATTTAATAATTAAAGGTCAAATTTGGTTGCACTGCTCAGGTAGTTTAAAGTGTCTTTGAAAATTAATGATCAGGTCTGATTTACCTGCCATTTTACCTTGTTTTACACTATTGTAATTCCACTGACAGCAAATGGGAGGTACTCTTCTATGTGTGAGAGTGAAAAAAGAAAATCATTATTTACAGTCTTTGCATGGTCATGAGCTAACAAATGGATTTTGCATTGAGTGGATGCTTTGTATGCTTTTTCTGTGTTTTACTGTGGTAATTCATAGCCACCATTATTATACGAGAAGGAGATCTACAGCAGTTGTCAATTTTCTAAAGAAAATATTTATTTCTTACTTTCTATTTTGCATTTGTTTAATCACAGAAATCTTGCATATTTTGAATGATTACTTGTATTACCCTATTTCAGTATTTTACCAAGAGAACAATTGACTTTTCCAGTTTGAGTATATTAAAAGCTTAGTCAAGTGTATGTTATAGCTGGTTCCCTTCCAGTTTAAAAAATGTATAAATTCTCTTTTTAACGTTCCAGGGAAAAGCAATGGTATTTGCTCCACTCCGAGGGAATACTTTAAACCAGTTCTGCAATCTAGCTGAAAAAGCTGGTTTCTCTATCCAAAGACATGAAAATTATGATGAACACATTTCGAACTTCCACTCCAAGGTTAGTTTTCTGCTTGTGTTAGATAACACTTTAATCCGCATTGCATTTTGAAGAGATCATGGTCCTTTTGGCAGGTAACCTAAATGTTTGATTAAAGTACTCCTTAGGTGTGCTGTTTCTGAACAGCTATTTTTGTATCTGATTATTTTGTGTGGTAAAACCATCCTTTATCTCTGCACGTCTAGAAGAGTTTTGCAGAAGCATCTCCTGTTTACCCTTTTCATTCATAGAAATCTAATTTATGAGAGGCTTTTCTTGTTGTTGTTAGCTGCCTATAAATATACAGCACACTAGCATTTACATTTTAATAAAAAGCTTGCAACTTTTAAGTAGGTTAAATACTGAAATGGACTGAAATAAATAGGAGGTGGACGTCTAATTGTATCATATCGTACCTTAAATCCTTATCTCTAGCTGCTTTATGGCCGGGTCAGTTGGCAGCTTCAAACTGCTAAATCTCATACAGAATTTCACAGTTGTGGGGTTATATGTCAGATCGAGGCGCTACAAGATTTAGGTCAAAAGCACTTATCTGAGCGTGATTTCTAAGCTTGCTTACATAAAGCTACTGTTATCAGTCTCCTTTTTTATTATTTATAAGTATGAAGTAATACAGGACATGAAGAGGAAGGTGCATCACAGAAAACTTTTTAGGAATTTCTTATTTTCCTGTATAGGAATGCTTATCAAAATCATATTTGTTACTTGCAATTCTGAGATCTCTATTTCATACCATAAAGAAATCCACTGTTGTAGGTCCACATGACCTTAGACATAACCTCTTGCAATTTTCTAAGAATTGCTCTTGGAAAATATAGACATGTTCAGAATTGAAGTGAAATGCATTTTTTTTCTATTTAGCACTACTGCAGCATTGAAATCAGATTATTATGCTAAAAAAAAAAAATTGTGTGATATTGTAAGGAAAAAATATGTGGTTTATTGTGTAATTTTATATTTAATAAAGACTACTATTAAAGCTATCTAGGCATGTGTACATAATATCACTAAATTTAATTGTTCAGATAGGTCTGAATGTTCACGCTAAAACCAAATAAATTTCATTCATTGTTCATCTACCACCTTGACTTTAAATCATATAAAATTATATAAATGTAAGACCCATTGGGATGGGTTTTTTATTTGCCTCCACCTGAAAAAGG